ACAGTTCAACATTTTGTTGAACACTAAAAGTTGAACAGTGTACCAGGCCATGTTGGATGTTAAACTTGTTTAATGACAGTGACAGTACAGACAGGCTCTATTCTGTTCAAGAGGTTGTAACTTATGCTTAACAGTGACAGTCAATCTCAGCCATTCACTATGAGCAGTAATAACTGTTAATAGCCCACATTCGACATGACTCCGAGGCTTTAGGGTCAAAATTGACCTTTCTTCATGACTCCATTGTCTCGCAATTCCCAGAAGAGACTTGAGCACAAAGAGAACCTCTAACTACTCAGCCACGCTGCCTCTTGTAGTACAGGTAATTTTTCATGTAACTTTCTTAACTGTGCTAACTCACATGTTCCTTTGGAACTTGAGCAATCTCTAGCAGTCTTTGTTTGCCTTCATATTCTATGAGTGTTCCTCCCTGTGCAAATAAGAAACAGAACGCAGCCTTCAGATCTGCCTACATGTATAAGAGAGTAATTACTGTCAAACTCAGAAACTGTGAATACCTGGAAAGTTCCAGGAATGTTGATTGTGTACTGGCCAATCACAATAAAGTTCAGGATACACAAGCAAACCTCAAAACCACAAACTAATTACCATTGCTGTTGGTGGTTTAGTTATCTCGCACCTTATTGGCTTATTTCTTGCAACACAATAACATTCCATAAATATTTCTGGTGTTCACTGTTTTGTGAGTTTAACAGTAATTTGTGACTATAGCCAGGGCTCGAAAAAAGCCCCGTCCGGTAGTCCAGGACAAGTCAATTTTCTTGCTGGGAAACTCATTTTTAAAGCTTACATGTACTTTCCCTATGGGCAAGAGTCCAGGCAAGTCATCCTCAAACAAAATCATTAACCCCGTACGTGACAAGAGTGACCAACATCAATTTTCTCCTAACAATATAAATACATAATTAAGAGAAAAGTTTATGAGAATAAGTAAAATGATCACCTAAGGCAAAATGCTTTGATCTTTGAACAAATTCTCTCAACTAATTCTGTGAGGGAATGTATGGAGATCAGTTTGAAGAATTGTTATGTGGATCTTGGGGCTTAAAGGGTAAACCCAATATAAGACGAGTAAGAAGTGGTTGCAGAGCAAGCAAACTGTGAGAGCTGCCTGCCCAAAGGATAAGCTGGAATTGAAGCTTTTTTGAGCCCTGGACTAAGCCCCTTGACTTCTGAAATTAGAGAACAAAGATAAAATGCAAGATAAATTCCTAACACAAAATAATTTTGCTTTTAATGAATATACAGTGTACAAGCAAAGAGGTTTTTCATGTCAATGGTGACACCATAGGATTTCATCCAGAATCCAGAATCCAATTAAAACCTGTTAATTTATACAAAACAAGATGGCGTAATTAGCACCATGTGAAAGTACCCCTAAAGAGGTTTCATTTAAATGGTCATTTAAAAATAAGGATGATCCAATTTTATTAATCATAATGTTAAGCAATGTACCTTGACATCTGCCCTTGTTTTGTCAGTAACTTCCATAATAAATTCTGGTGAGGGTGACTTTGAAGGGTTATTCATGTAATTTAAAATATCTGAGCTCAGTTAAGGAGGATTATTAATTTACTGCGTAGTGCTGGAAATGTTTCAAACCACAAACCCATCTTCTTGTAAACGGTTGTTTTTAAGAATGGGTCAGACAAATGCAATGCCTGGCCTTCCCATGGGTTAATCTCCCATCCCCATAAAAAAAAAAAAAACATTGCTGAAACCAGACACACTTTTCAAGATAGCAGGTGGAGAAACGTGGAGGCCTCATGCAGAAGGGAGTCGAGGAGGCAAGGTAGGAGGTAGTATTAAAACAATCATTGATTACTATCATTGAAGTCATTTTGTAGGCATAATGAACAAATGATACTATAGCAAAAATGGATTAGAGGGCTTTTGCGGAATAAGGAGTCAAGTGCTTTCAGATAAAATTAATGTTAAATTTTCCATCCAATTTGTCTTGAACATATATACTTCAATCAATCAATCAATCATTTATTTATGTAGCGTCTAGTGAGCTAAAAAGCTCGTTCAAAATACGTACGTAAACAAACGTACTTGTAAATTTAAAAAGGAGAAAATGATCAGAAAGGGCATCACTTGACGACTTTTCTAAAAAAATCAACCAAAAGAATCCCCCATTATATATGCTGTATAATATCGACAAATGACAGGAGCAGCTTTCATAATGAGATTAACCATTTTAAAAGTTGACTAAATGTACTAAAAGGATATTAACATCCACAGTAGCTCCCAGGTTGTCAATATTTGAAACAAACATGTATTCTTTGCCCTCATCAAGGAACTTCTTAAGGAGACCAGAGTTGTAAAAGGAGCGATAAATATCCCCATGACCTGGTGGATTCCAGCTGCAAGATAAAGAAAAGAAATCATAAGACAATTATTGTTTAATAACATGTTATTGAACCGCAGCAGAACTAACTAAAAGGCTGTTTACATGACACCAGAATGACTTTCATTAAGCCTTTATACACCAAGGGATGAAAAATGCCAATTTTCTCCTAAAATATCAGTACGTAATCAAGAGAAGAGATCGAGGTCAAAAGAGTTTTTAAAAAAGGAGAAAAATAAGGAGATTGACATTCTGGAGAATGTGTACGGTTGTGCCAGACATTCAGTACATGAGACTCACTGTTCCACATTAAATCCATGTTCCTTTCCCATTACACTTGGCAACGGAAGCAAAGATTCCTTCACAATACGAGGATGACAGCTCTGGTTAAAGCAGTGAATCTTTACATTGCATGCGCTGTACTTTCTAAGGGTTTTCTGTGTTTCATCGTGTGTGTTAAATGAGTTCATAAGAACAAGAGGAACAGAACATCCATATGTATTATTCAAATGCTGTGGAGAAAAAACAAAGTTTTTTGGCAAACATGTTCATGTAACTGAAGGCATAAAGATGAGCCACAGGTCACCCATATGGCTACGTTACAGGTAAAATTTGATTTCAGGTTCCATTTTTTTAAACCTAGGTTGATTCTCAATTTCCTAGCCCTAATTCATGAATAATTAGGGCTAGGAGACGAGGAAAGGTTAAATCAAAATTAACCTGAAATCAAATTTGACCTGGGACAGCTACATTTTGTGCATCTGCACTCCTGGAAACTCATCATATGTGCATTCAGGTCCCAGGACTCCTTTAGGATTTATTGTTCAAAAATATAATAACAGGAGGGCTGTGCTCTAGCAGAACCCGGTAGCCTCTGGGGCCCAACTTTGCCCTCAGGTGACCAGAAAATCTTAGTTTTTTCATACAAATCATATACTGGGCATCCTGGATTTTACAGGTTCAGAGCAATGGGCTCCCTTCAATTTTCCTTAGAGCACAGCTTTGTTCCTCACTTAAGGCCAACTTTTACAAACTTTTACTCTGTTAACCCTTTCAACACTACACCCCAGTTTACTGGTGCAAACAAAAAGTGCCTGTAACATTACGCGCCAAATATCCAGGCAAACAAAACAATTCTCTTTGATGGGGAATTACTGGCTCTACTTTCCATATATGGCAAACTGATTTATGCAAGTGAAAGCACTTGCTGTGAAAACAAAACAGTAGCCTGTTTTAGTGATCTGAGAGATGAAGAGAGTGTTGTAAGACAAACAAGAGGACTTTTATCTGTTTATCTGTGATAATGTGCAAGAAGGTTGTCTGGAACAAAAAGTATCGTGCAGATGAAAATTTGCACTTGATTTAAACTTGCTTTAGCATATAGGTCTGATTCTCTCATTGTCTCTGATGTGCTTTTTAAAACTCACCTCAATCTGTTGTACGTTCATGTCCAGGAAAGTCAAGTCACGACGTAACGAAATAAGACTCTTGGGGCCAGTGCAGCCCATACTTGTTCCCAGACCTCCATTCAACTTAATGACAACCAATTTGTTAAGCACAGTTTTTATATCACTCTCTGTAGCAACTGGAATCTCATTGTATTTTAAAATCTAGATTCAAAAATCATACACTCTGATAAGTAAATCATACAATATCATTATACAATTCTCGAAAACTGCCCACCTACCCCTCCCTTAAGCCAATATTTTGCCCTAAGTGAAAAGTTAGTGTTAATGTTGCCTCAGGGCAGGAGTAGGTGGGCATTTTCCCAGAAACGTATAAAGAGATGCAGCACAATCAAACAGCAGAGGGAGGGGAATCTCCTTTTCATGCATACATGAAACCGCATACATAGCAGCTCCACATGAAAGGAACTCTGCACCTTTCAATCAAATCGATTTCTGCCCACTTAAATTTTTTCACCTTCTACTTTAAAATTTACCAAGAGTGGTGACACTGTTAAGTTTGGTATGACATGAAACATTACATTAAAAAGAGGTTGCCATATTATCTTTTATTCAAACAGACTGCCATGTACATTAAAAAGGGACATTATTAAACCAGACTGGCCTCTATGAACTCTTACTATTTACCTAAAGCTAGGACCACCTATGAAAAATTAAATGTCTGTTTCGGCGTTGCTTATCTCTGGAATTCTATTCAAGAAGATCTAAAATTAGTGAGTCATTCCTGTTTCAAAAAGTTAAAGAATCTATTATCTCCAAATATTGATTGGTTCTTTGATGCATTCTATTTACCGCTGATTATGTACACATGCAGCCCCTTAAGTTTTTCGTTCTTCTTCATGTCAGCGTACTTGCATTTGCTAATAAGTGGCTATGGCCTCTTTAATCTGCTAAGTGTCAACCAGTAACTTACTTCTCTGTATGTACCAAGGGCATTAAAATAAAGATTGATTATAGTCGTTGTTGTTTGTTGTTCGCACAACATTTAAACCAGGTCTACTTCTAACCAAGTAAATATTATCATTATCATTTTTCTAAGGATTTCTTACAGATCCTTCTGGTGGTGGCTTGATTTTCTCCCATTCTACAGATGGTCCTGTGTCCTCAAGAAACCTTGCAAACAATTCTTTAAAGCTTTTCACATGCAACTTTGCTTCCTGTAAAACAATATAAACACCTTGTATTAAAACTCTATCATGGTGTTTTGAGACAGTTGTAAAATGCAAAATAAAACAAAACTAGTTTTTAACTTTATTACTTTATTCATTGATTAGAAATGTTGACCCTTAAAAAGATTTAATTTAATTTATTCATTAAGTTAATAATTAATTAATGAGGGCTCCCACTATGACAAAATTAACTCCCTCAACAATAAATATTATTATCATCACTATTGAGATCATCATCATTATTATTTTTATGGTTGTTGTTATTATTAATATTATTATTATTATTATTCTATGCTTGCATAATATTTCCTAATCATTTTCAAGGTTTATGGTTATTCCCCTATCTCCATGGTCTACCCTTTTGTCAGAAAAAAAAAACTTACCAAGTGCTTCATAAGCCCAGTTAATAGGCTGCATTACACACAAAGAACTTTTAAAAAGGTTTTCAGCTTGGATTTAAAAATAGATGAAATGTCGGTTTCTGTCAGATCATTTTGATGAGTGTTCCAGTTGACATATCCCATTATGCCCAGAGGTTTCTTCAATACAATGAAAGAGCTGAGTAATGTGTAAACCTGACAAAAGGTAAAGTGAGCTTGAATGCACCGATTGCACCATTAAATTTTAATTTCAGACCCGTGTTACAACATACATGTATACCTCAAAACCCTGGCCAAGAGATACAATTTATTGTGCATTCTTCATCTGCTATATGTTTGCACACTCAAAGCTGATGCTAAATTATGACAATTTGAGGTTATAGGCAAATCTTCACTGATGTCAATTTGTTTAATTTTTTCCTCACTAGCTGTGCATTAACTCATAGAAGCCGTGGCCGTATATATGAACGAAATTCCAAAGTTGAAAAATTAGCTTGAGCTATTTGTGCAATATTCAGCTCTTTGTAAGAAATGTTGAAGGAAACATCTGCCATAGAAAACTGTGAGATTGCTGGGTAGCAAAAATATTAATGAGCCATTACATTCTTTGTACAATTTTGAGTTTTTAAAAGGGAATTTCTCCAAAACCATTCAGTATATCGGGCTCAAAATTGCAGAGATAACTGAAATTGTTATGCTCTTTCAATATTCAGACGTTTTATTTTAGTAGCTTCATCAGACAATGATGAGCATATGTTAGGATGTAAAAAATGTAAACAAAGGTTCACCCATACACAAAGGCAATTTCACCCAACAAAATCAGCTACAGTAGCTGATGTTGCCATTGACACTTTAGTGTAACTTCACTGACAATTGTTCTTGTGGATACAGTTTAGAATACAAGTCAAGTTTGAAGTGTAGGGTATCATATATGCAAGGCCCTGAGTGAACCTTCCGAAATTCCCATCCAATCAGAAGTACAAGAGCATCCTAGAATCAAGACCCTATTTTCCTTAAAATCACAAATTAAATATTTTTTTAACCACTTGGCAAATCATGATCACATTAAGAATTAACATATGCTAAACTGCAGAAAAAAGGCTAAGACTCTTTATTGATTAATAACCAGCTATCATATAAAGAACACACAGCAATATTTAAGACAGTTTAAAAGAAGTGTTTTGGATACATCAAAATCCAGCGTCAATTTAAGGATATTACAAACAATTTGTGACCATAGTTACAGTTAGGTACCATATTTATTCAGCTATAAGCTGAGTGATTTGTACAAAAATTAAAGCTAAAGTTAAGTGAAATTTGAACCTGAGAGGGGGTCTTGGCTTATAGGCAAGAGTTTTCGAAAAAAAAAAAATTTTCAGTGCATTGAAACTCTACTAAATAGGGATGTACTCACTTAAAGCCACGCAAGTAGCAGCAAAAGATTGAATCGATCATGTCACTACAAACCTGAATTAAGTTAGCTAAGCACAGAAACTCAGTCCCAAAATGTCAAAATATCTGACATAAACAGGTCTCACAATTAAAATTACATATTGGTAAGCCTTTTACAGCGTGCTTTGAAACATATGCTTCAAAACAATTGCCTAGTTACTAAGCACAGACGAATGCATTATGCAAACTGCTGTGGTTTGTTTTGATTGAAGGGTGATTTCTGTGACCATTTCAAGCATAATGTGATGAAGACATGAGGAAAGATGAATAGCAGCAAAAAACCCAAACAACAATAATTATTTAAAACTTCGATCATGTAAGCCATTTATGTTGTTTAGTCAACCCGCTAAGCAAACGGTTCAGAAAATCAAGTCAATCTGTTCGAACGCTTTCCAAAGCCGTTAGAAATTCTTGCCCACCCATTAAAAGCGTTAATCAAACCATTAAAACGCTTTGAAAAGCCGTTAACAAGCCGTTTATTAGCCACAAATTTTTACCTGTCTAACAGAAATACGTTAGTGTACATTTTCCTGGAGAGGGCCACATTTTTTTCCGAAAACATTAGGTTTTACCATAATTGAAAGTCTTGAAACTAATGGGTCTCAGCTTATAGCTGGGTGTTTTCGATTTATTTTTCATTCTTAGTTACACTGATTCTACTCGTTCAAAGTTTAGGGTCTCAGCTTGTTGCCAAGATTGGCATATAGCCAAATAAATACAGTAACGACAAGAGCTAATTTAGTAAACACCTTTGAACTGACAGTGGATATATCTGATGTATCCAATGCCTAAACATTGCTTTTCATTCTTCAGCTGTTGGAAAATTTCAGCAACCATCATCAACATCAGTTTGATTATTAATTTTTTTTTTTTACCCGAGTTCAATACCTGTTCACTCTATGCTAGAAAATAACCATACAAGGCATATACATGTACATATTGTAAGACATTTTTTGTTGGGAACTTCTGCATCTATTTCCGGGCTCCCACACAAATCCTTTCTGTTTACGGCCATTTCGAGATTACAAAACTGAGCTTGGGCTGCCTGTGCCCAGCATCACGCAAGGCATCCTGAATTTTACCACAATACTAAGTACTATACTTAGTATAATAGTGTTATATTTTGATAAAGAAACAGGACAAAGCGATAAAAGGCCATTAAGAGCTGCATTAAATCAAAAGGATCCTCCTGATTAACATTTGTAAACAAAACTTAAGCTCAAGTAATGTATGAAATAAAGCTGTCGAGTTCGGTCGTTCTGAATGTCCCGATCCCAGGTAGTTCTCTTGAAGTTTAATACTCATGTAATTCATGCAATTTAATGTTATCTTACCGCTTGCCTTTCTTCAGGCGCTGTGGCAAGTAAAAGCTTCAGCTCGTTATCCATGCGCTCAAAAGCATCTTTGCGAGAAAGCGTTTTGAACTCGATAACTGGATCCGCCTACACAACACAACAAACCACACACAATCCAATACTTAATCGCACTGAGAGAAACACCACATTAAACTCAATCGCGTTTTAAAGCTTACCATAGTATTCTTGTGATGTGGCAGCGCTAAGGGATGGACGAAAAAGACTCACAAATATGAAATATTTATCTTCGATTTTGCACAGTCAGGATCAAGTCGAGTGGAGAGTACACGCTGTCCACTCTTACCCAGTCCCCGGCGTGAATACAAACAAGTCAAAAACTTGTCAAAAACTTACAAGAACACGCTGCTCGCGCCCCGGAAAAGCTTTCTCTCAGGCAAAAAACACGCCAGTTGTACCCAGAGTGATTTTAAATAATTTCTATTAAAACTTTCACGGGCGGCTCACTAGTTCCTCATTTGTGGCAAATATTTTCGCAGCGCCGGGCTGCAGTCTTCCCTTCCCCTGGCGGGGTTGGCATGCTCGAGATAATTGCAGGTTTAATACCCGTTAGGCTGGTGATGATGGAAAGCAGGAGCCTATCAAATTTGATGGGCTCCTGTGGAAAGCCAATACATGTATTTTTATCCAATAGGTTTCACTCAGGGCCATGCGTGAGAAAATTGTTGGTATCTTTTTTCTAGCTAGGGCTAAGGGTGAAGGATTTCTTTCCAAGATCCGGGAGCGCTGAAAGGAAATTTGGGAAGAGGAGTGTAGCCAAGACCCTCAGATATGAAACATCAGCAAGTCCACAGCAACAAGCCGGATCTCCCAGCTGTAGACCTTGATCAGTACAATTAAACTTGCAGAAACAAATGAAACGGCAAACTGATCCATAAGGCAAGGCGATGAAGAAGTAAACAGAAGAATAAACAAAAAATATATATTTAAACAAATTGCCCAATATTTCGGTTTGAAAACAAACCTTCTTCAGGGACTAAAAGAAAAAATGAAAATTTTCATACAAGACTCTCATAACCTGAACTTTATAGTGTAAGACAAAAACCGTTCATAATCGCCACCCTGTCTGGCGGGAAAAGCCCTGGGGAAAGGCCTCGGCGGCTCTCTTCTCCGCGCGTGGAGGCCTCTTTAATCCCCCCAGCCTGCGAGCAAACTCTCTACGGGTTCCCTGGTTTTTTGCCTTTCCGACAACACGCTCTTCGCGCGAACGACTTAGATCCTTCTCATTTCTCCCCACACAACTTTCTAACTCGCTTTCACATGTCGCGTTCCTTCCGAGCTGATACTCGCCAAACATCGGTCTCTGTGGTTGATGCTATAATTGTAACATGATTAAGTGATAACATGTAATTAGAGCGTTAATATACTAGATAATGATGTCATTGGTTTTAGCGTGATTATGATTGTCATTCTTGAACAGATTTTGCCAGAATCGGGGGTACGGAGGTGGGGGAGGGAAGAGGGGAAGGACTCGCCCCGCCGCTGGAGCGCACGAGGAGAGCTTGCTCGAAGGCTATTCTCCCCCCCCCCCCCCCCCCCCCCCCCCTCCCTTGCTTTTTTGCTTTTTTTTTTGGTTTCCCCCCCCGGACCCCCGCCGGGGGGGGGGGCGCCCCCCCCCCCCCCGCCCCCCCTCCGGGGGGATGAGGCGAGTTTTCCAAAAACACTTCCCCACCCCCTTTTTACATATATTAATTGTAAAATTTTAATTGAGGGTTTAAATTATTAGTAAAGATGTTATTTGTTTTTGGGTGGTTTTTGTTTTTATTTGTGAAAAGGTTTTTCCCCAAAC